AGAGAAATAGAAAATTAATAATTTGGAAAAATCTGTAATTATTTTCTTAGTAATTATGTAAGCTAATGTGCAAGTGGTTTTTAATAAATATTTTGTAATATACATTTATAATTTTTATCGTTTCTGTAATCCGATTTCCGTTAAAACAACAATACGGGCCTGATACGCGAATCGTTGCTAGTATAGTGGCTCGCTATCCCACTCTCTACAGCACGCGAATACCGACCTACCGACTGGTGACTTTCAAAGTACAAAGGTGCCGCCGATGAGATGACCAGCTGGTAGTGAATAAGCTGTGGTACAAGTTGCCGAGTGATCGCGCACTCTCGGCTGTCCTTTTAGTTGCATTCAAGGTGGCGGTGTGTTAGGTGTGTGAATAGAGATCGTCGACTGACACGTAAGTAAATATATTTGTGATTAAACTTTTGGGTCTATTTCGATCAATTTTGAAGATAATGATTTGCAACTTGAACTAAATTGATGTAAAAATATTCAGGAATCTTATGTCATTATCGTTATTAGACTTATTTCGACTATTGAAAATAAATTTGAATGATATTCGAAAATGGAATGTGGGGTTGGTAGTTCCTTTACTTTGGGGCTAGTTGTGCCTCGGAACAACTTACCCCGATAAATAAATTATATGCAATTTTTTCAATTTCAGGATGCGTACGTATAAGAGAAAAACTGAACGAGGTAAAACTTCTGAGGAACTCCTACGCAGAGCAGCTGATGCTGTTATTAAAGATGGTAAAAAAAATCAAAACAGTTGCAAGAGAAGTCGAAATCTGCCACATGACATTATTTCGATTTATCAAAAAGTTGAGAGCCGGTGAGGTGCCTTCAGTGGGTTACAAACCTAGACTGGTGTTTACTCGGGAGCATGAACAGATAATGGCAGATTATCTTCTAAAATGTGCCTCAATCTACTTCGGTCTCTTGCCAGACGAAGTGCGAAAGTTAGCTTACGATTGTGCCATAAAATTTAGCATGCCACATATTCCAGCTCCATAGCATAAAAACCATAAAGCAGGAGCTGATTGGTTCACCGGTTTCTTGAAAAGGAACCCATCACTGGCTATAAGAACTCCCGAAGCAACAAGTGCGGGCCGTGCATCTTCGTTCAATAGGAACAATGTGAACGAGTTTTTTACGAAACTTGGTGACATTCTTCTCAGATATAGTTTACCCCCCCTCTAGAATTTGGAACTTAGATGAGACAGGGGTAACGACCGGTGTTGAAGCCCAAAAAAATTGTAGCCCAGAAAGGTATGAAGCAAGTGGGTGCTATTGTTTCTGCAGAGCGCGGTACCTTGGTTACCGTCGAATTAGCAGCCAATGCAGCGGGTAACACGATACCGCCGATGTTTATTTTTCCGCGGTTGAAATACAAAGAACTATTTCTACGTGATGGTCCTCCTGAGTCAATTGGGGCAGGAAATAGCTCAGGGTGGATGAATGCTACTGAATTTCTTCTTTATATGGATCACTTCATAAAATATACCAAACCAACCCCAGAGGAACCCGTGTTGTTGCTGTTGGATAACCATCAATCTCATATCGACATTGGTGTGGTCGAAAAAGCAAAAGCTAGTTCAGTTATCATGTTATCATTTCCTCCACATTGTACACATCGTCTTCAGCCACTTGATGTTGGTGTAAATGGGCCGTTGAAGACATACTGTGCCAAAGCTCAAGACAACTGGCTCCGGAACAATCCAGGAAAGACGATGTCTATATATGAATTACCAGGAATTCTGAAATATGCTTGGCCTTTAGCAGCAACTCCTACCAATATCATAAACTCATTTAAGAAGGCAGGAGTATGCCCCTTCGACCCTAACATATTCACGGACGAAGACTTCGCCCCATCTTTTGTGACGGATAGGCCAATGCCTAATGCTGACTTTCATCAGGAAACAGAGCTGAATGATCAGCCTGGGCCTCTAATATTGAAAATTCACAACACATTGTGCGACAGTCCGTATCGTTTCCAGAACCATCTAATAACAAGTTATCGATGGAACCAGAACCGCAAACAATACCAACAACAGTAGATGATGTAACATTTTCTCCAGAATTAGTTAAGCCGTTCCCGAAAGCACCACCAAGATTGTCGACTACTTCTAGACGACGCAAAAGAAAAACGGCTGTTCTTACAGACACACCCGAGAAAAATGCATTGGCAGAAGAACAGGCTAATAAGAAAAGAAAAAGATGAAGATCAGAATAAGGAAAACAAAGGAAACGGAACTGGAAAAGGCAAGGGAAAAAGCTCAGGAAAAGGGCAGAATACAGGAAAAACGGAAAAGCGAAGTGAAAAGGCGAGTTCTTCAAGAAAGCGATGAAAGTGATAATGAAAAAGATGATTTAGAATGGTATTGTTTAATTTGCTACGATTCCTATTCAAATTCGAAACCCAGAGAGAAGTGGATTGAATGCATTATGTGCAAAAATTGGGCTCACTTAAATTGCTTAGAAAGAGATGACGTTGAAGTTTATATTTGCCCCAATTGCAATTCAGATGATGAGAATGATGAATAATCATGTTTTTTTGTGGTATTATTAGTATATAGGATTTTTTTAACGATTGCTTTTGTGTTTTGTTTTATTTCTGAAGTTGAGAAATAATAAATGATTTCGAAAACCAGTTGTCTTGTTCATTAATTATACGTTATTCGAACAAAAAGTAATACAAATGTGAGGGGAACAATCTGCCCCTATGACGGAACAACCAGCCCCTTGACGGGGCAGGTTGTGCCGCACCGAGTTGTCGAGATAAAATTGTTCTGTAAGATGAGCTATTAATAATTCCCCACAAGTTATTATATAGTCTGATACTATGATAATGTATGTTTTATTACTGCTAAAGTTACAGAGATTGCACATCGTTTCGATATATTTTTTACTAGTTCAATGAAAATCTGAACTTTCAACCCCGTCCTCCCCTACCTAGCCACCCAACTTTTGCTGCTGTTGAGAGACGTCTTCGGGAGATCGGTTCCTTTGCTCCCAATACTGTTGATAATGGAAGAGAACGTTTTGTAAGGATTCCTGAAGTTGAAGAAGACATTTTAGAACGTGTTGAAGAAGATCCAGAATTAAGCACCAGACGAATTGGAAGGGAACTAGGAGTAAGTAAAGATGTCTTTCATAGAGTGCTTAGAGAACAATTGCTATATCCATACCATAAGAAGCCAGTACAAGAATTATTAGTCCATGATCCTCAAATTCGTTTGGGTTTTTGTCGATTTGTTAATATGCAAAGAGAAAGAAATCCAAACTTTGTCAAGAAGGTTCTCTTTACCGATGAAGCGGGTTTTACAAGAAGAGGCATAACTAATACCCATAATGAACATGTTTATGCCGTTGAAAATCCGCATGCAATAAAGGTAAACCATTTTCAGCACGAATTCAAAATTATTGTGTGGGCTGGAATAATTGGTAATTTCATTGTTGGTCCTGTCATACTTCCACGAAGATTAACTGGAGAAAATTATTTGGATTTTCTACAAAATACGTTGCCAGAATTACTTATCTCTCCACTTCGGAGAGATATGTGGTTTATGAAAGATGGAGATCCACCACATTTTTCTTTAAACGTTAGAAACCACTTGAATGAACAATATCCACACAAATGGATAGGCAGAGGTAATGACGCACCTGTAAACTGGCCACCACGTTCCCCAGACCTAACACCGATGGATTACTTTTTATGGGGACATCTGAAATCCACAGTTTACAGGGAACCTGTAGAAAATGAGGAACAACTCTGGCAACGTATTCAAGATGCAATAAACAATCTTAGAGGTGATGAAGAAGTTATGGAAAGGATACATTTTAATTTTCTTCGACGTATAAATCTTTGTATGCGTGAAAATGATGAACATTTTGAACAATTTTTGTAAAATCTCTATTTTGATTGTTGTAAATACCTAAATATTTTTGTGAAACCTATACACTCTAAATTATTAAAACAGAAATTTAGCGAAAACCATGAGAGTAATCGAGTCTTATCAAGAGTACCTTTTTTAAAGTAAATGAGTTGCGCAATCTAAATTTCATACTCAAACTCCTTTTCTTCCATTGGCGTAGAATTTTTAAAGGTGCAATTATTTAAAAAATCAAGTTCTACGCCTATGTATTATAATCGGACAAAATTTTAATACCATTTTTTTTGCCACATAAAACTCTACCAATATACCAAATTTCAGCAAAATCGCATATGCCGTTTTAAATTTATATGGGAAAAACGATTTAAAATTGTTCAAGGCCCTCTGGAGCCCAAACGAAGCAACTTTGTACTAAGGTAATTTTACTTAAATCGACTTATTTTGGTCTAAGGAATATGTGGTATGTTTTTGTAAAGACCTTTTACAGACACCCTGTATATGTGATACTAAGCTTAACGTAATTTTTAGTGGGGATTTTAATATATTTTTTTTTAATAAATTTTACTTACATTGGGTTCTATTCTGTAACAACTCCTTTATATTTAACGGCCTTTAAAAATATTTTCTTCTTAACTTCTGTCATTATTTAAACGGATCTTTTAAATGGCGGAGTTTTCTATCTCCTTTTAAAAGGCACTCAGAAAGCTGCGCAGTGCGACCATTCTCCGTATAGTAAAAGAAAATTAAAGTATGTGGACCACCACGTAATAAGGGTTCAAAATGACGGAGTTTTCTATCTCCTTTTAAAAGGCACTCAGAAAGCTGCGTAGTGCGACCATTCTCCGTATAATAAAAGAAAATCAAAGTATGTGGCTCGAAGTGCATTAATGACATAAATAGGTTTATTTTGTTCGCAACAACTGTGTTTACGTGTCAAATTGGTCCGAATATGACGTCATTATCACGTTACTTTTGTGTCAAAAAATCACATCGACGTATTTGAACAAAATTCAACGTGATTATGACGTGAAACGACGTCCGGTGCTAGCTGGGTGTTGTAATAAGTTAACAAAGGACGGAAAAAATTATAATATTCTAATGGTATAAATAATTACATTATTACATGGATTAATATAACTTTCTTTTAAGCACGCAACAATAAAATTCATTTGTTAAATAAACATTAATTTTATTGATCTAAATTGGTTTAGATTAATTTACACAAAACAAACGATATAATAAAAACTACGAATGTCGGAATGAGTGCTGCCGTCGCTTTATTATATTGATTGCATTTTTCTTTTTCACAAGTAGAACATTTGTTATTATATAGTGATATTTTTGACGTAGGACTTGTTGTTTGCATGTTTTTCAAAAAATATTCGCATTCTTGACCAGCTTGATTTATATTACAACTTTTGATTGCCTTGTAACTTTTTGCACCACCATCTGTAAAAAAAAATAATTTGTCAATATTGTATCTGAAAAATCAAAAACTTTGTATGTTGCGATTTCAAGGTTAGTAGTAGGTCATTTATAATTAAAACAATACGACCACAAATTAAAAAAAATCAATCGAAGGCTTAAAAAGGGTAAATGAACAAAATAGTCTTCAATCTAATTAGGAAGTACTTATAAATGTAATGTAATAATAAGGTACATGCAGGTAATAACGCCAAGTTGGTAATAACGCCAATTTAGATTTCTTAAAAAACTATAACCTTTAAATAATAGATGGCGCTGAGAATATAATGAGGTTATTCTACAAATAAGATCTTCTACCATGAAAAGCGTCAGTTGATGATTGTACGCCGTATGGTTCATGTATTTAAACAGAACGTTAGGCGCGAACGTATTTTATTTATTCTTTAGTGAATTGTTTTGCCGGTAAGGACAGTTTTTTGGTGAGTATTTGTTTTTTTGTCGGGTTAGTTATAAAATATATGTTATATACTGGAGGCTATGTAATTCAACCAGTCAAATAAAACATTTTTAGGGTTAAATTTGGGGAAAATATTTGAACACGTGGTTGTTGGTAATATCGCCAATACACTTGAAGAGCAATAACGCCATGGCGTTATTACCTGCATCGGGTTGATATAAAGTAACGGTTTTTTTACAGATTTTTCACCATGCCAAAATACAAAAGCAAGGGATTGAGAGGAAAATGGAATGCAGACAACATGCAAAATGCTCTAACTGCCATCAGAAATGGTTACTCCGTAAATAAAGCAAGTATCAACTTTGCAATTCCACGAAGAACATTAAGAGATTATATAAAGAAAAATGTAGCAGTTAAACTTCCCATGGGACGTAAGTGCATACTTAATTCTGATGAAGAATCGAACTTATGTCAAAGAATAATACGTCTAGCCGAAATTGGATATCCCTTAACATCGAGGGTACTTAGGAGATGCGTGTACAATTTTTGCATAACGAATCAAATTAAAACCCCGTTTTCTGAGACATCAAAAATGGCAGGACGTTATTGGCTCAAAGGATTTTTAAAACGACATGACGAAATTCGAAATCGTAAAGCTCAAAACCTAAATCCTGCAAGAGCTCAAAAACTTAATAAGTTCATAGTTAATGATCATTTTAACAAACTGAAAGATATTATGCAGACATTAGAAATAATGAAAAACCCCAATGCATATACAATATGGACGAGAAAGGATGTCGCCTAACTCTACATCATCAGCAGTCTGTATTAGCGAAAAAAGGAGCTAGACGAGTTCATGTGGTTGCAAATGAACATGCACAAAATGTCACCGTTGTGTCATGTGCTAATGCAATAGGCTCTGTCATACCACCTGTAATTTTATTTAAAGGGAAACGATTAAAACCAGAATGGACAGACCAGTTTCCTCCAGGAGGTATCGCTTTAATGACCCCAAAAGGCAGCATGACAATTGAAAGTTTTAAAGTGTGGCTGAAACATTTTTCAAAATATAAAGCACCTGGCCCTTGTCTCCTGATTTTTGATGGTGCATCTTCACATTTGGATTATTCAATTGTTCAAGTAGCAGATGAGCTCAACATAACATTATATTGCTTACCAAGTAACACCACCCATGAATTACAACCCATGGATAAAGCAGTGTTTCGTTCTTTTGAACACTATTGGGATGATGAGGTCTTAAAATACTGGACCAAAAATATAGATCGTTCAATAACCAAGCAACGTTTTGGAGCTATTTTTTCTGAAGTATGGGATAAATCTCTAACACCTGCTAATATAAAGTCAGGTTTCCAAGCAACAGGAATCTACCCATTTAATCAAGATGTCATACCAGTCGAAGCTTTTGCTCCAAGCAGCATTACTGAGAATAAAAATTTAACGGAAGATATTGAGAAAATTCAACCACCTGAAAGTCTATCCGAAGCTATCCAACCACCAAAACACAGTAGTCCCCAAGCCAGCACCTCAAAAATGGTCCAGGTCAAAAAAAATCCAACTAAAAAACGTATTGCGAGGGAGTTATCCGAAAGTAGTGATGATTCAGATGATATCAGTGTAAGTAACTTTGACTCATCTGAAGAAAGTGAAAACGAAGAGAGCGAATCTGAAAATACAAACAACCTAGGCACAACTTCCTTTTCCGAGATGCTACCGACACCAGATTTCTCACAAAAATCTACTAAACCTAGAAGGAATCCAGCAATTAATAGCAGAGCACAGGTTCTAAAGAAAGACCTTTTTAGCTCACTACGAAACGAAAAAAAAAAACAAACCCTCGAATCGAAAGATTGATCACGATCACAAAAAAACATGTGATAAGGAAAGTTGGTTTTGCAAAGCCTGCAAAGAGGATAGAGTAGCCGATATGCGCCTATGCAGTGCTTGCAATTCCTACTTTCATGATGAGTGTATTGGTTTAACCAAATCTGACAAAATTGTTCCTTATATTTGTCCATATTGCTTTTAGAAATTAATAAATGTTTGAAAATGTCTTATATGTTTATTATTATTTGTATTTTTTATTCCTTCGATTAGTTTCTATACTTAAACAATTAGATCAACAACTTGGCGTTATTACCAACGGGGGGTTGGTAATACCGCCAATGGACAATATTTTTTTTATAAGTGCTTAACCCTTTTAAAAGGAAAACAAAAACAGTTTAGTTAATGTTAAAATTGTTGCTTATATCAACGGAAAAACACCTGTAAAAGTTATTTGGTTTTTAGTCATGTTGCTTTGTCCAAATTACTGTAGAACCTTAAGATGGCGATATTACCTGCATGTACCTTATAAGTACTTATATATATTTATCACACTGTATATAATTTTTGTAGTTATTAGAGTTCCTTGAACTTGGATATAATTAGGTTAAGAAATGTATTTTATTATTTTATATAATATTTTGTAATATGTTGATTCGACACTTATTTCGATGACGTATCAATTGTGTAGGTTCGTTGAAATAAGTGATCGAAGAATAAAGTATTCAATAAATATCTTTCGTATAATCTACTTAATTTGTATTGATATTGATAATACGTGGTGACGTAAAATATTCAAAAGACTAGTACCGTCACAGTAATATCAATATTGTAAGAGATAATTCCTTGGGCTATTGTATGACTTAAATATCATACAAGGTGTTTATTAATTGAGTGCCGATAATTAAAAGTCATCTTCCAACCGATCCCTTACTTAAAATTATCAGGGGGGTGCGGGCCGTTGCAAATTTCACACTTGACGAAGGCGGGTCAATAGATTGTTTATCTATTAGTTTTGTTGTTAATAGATTTCAGTGCGAAGGGCGCCACATTATGGTTAGAAAAATGTTATTTGAAAAGGGCAGGCCGTGCGCGATTAATAACTTATTTTTTTACTTCTTTGAAGAAAGAACATTTTAGGACAAAGTTAAAGATTTGCAGCAGGGATATATAGAATTAGATTTTCCAAATTATTTCTTATAACGACATGATTAGCGCCTTAAAATACGTAATATTGCCACCTGTTTCTATCTTGAATAATAGCAATGATTAAAAAAATTAACCATTTTGTTCTTATATATCCCTAGAAATACGTTTTCTTTCTTCACCTGCACAAGCAGTTTTAAGTAATTTTGAAAAATAAAGTTGTAATTGCGCACGAGCTTAACCGCTGTTTTTGGCTTAAAAATTCAGGCGGAAGATGGCCTTTAAGGGTGTAAATCCTTGTGTGAATTTTAGAAGAAAAATTAATATCAACATGTTGTAAACCTCTTGATTTTTGAGCTACAGGTTATTACAGTTTTAAGAAAAGAATTACTTTTTTATCATAATTTTCTTATCACTCCAGATATTGTTTTGAAATTTTGTACGTTCCTTTTAATCATTAAGAAGCCTTTTTTGACTAAAAATTAAAATTAAATTAAAATTATTTTTGAAATCCTCGTATCTAAACCCAGCTGCTCATCTAATTGTTTCGCAATATCATTACTCAACAACGTAACCAAATTCAACCAGGCGATCATTGCTCGACTGTAAATTAATATCACACATTCTATATTCTTTTTGTCATTTTATTAACTCGTTTTAGTGTAATTATTTTTTTTAAATACTACAATATATTTAAAAAAAAAGAAAACATTTGATGTTATCAAATTTTAATTCGTTTTTATGCTGTAAAAGCATAAACGAAATAGAATATCTTTTCGATAGGGATGAACTAATTATTGATTATTTTGGAAAAGCGAGGACGCCATTTTTAGCCCAATTTTTTTTTAATAATGGAGAATACACATAAAATGCAACCCAATTTTCATTTATAACTATTTCAGAGGTCTAAGCCTTTTCGTATTTTCCGATTAAACGATTTTATAGGAAAATGTTTAACTTAGGTGGTTCAAGGTTTCATTTTCAGAAAATTTATTGAATTTGTAGTTTATTCTTACAATGAAAAAGGTCTTAAAATAGGCCATTTTGTACTACACGTTTTTAATTAAAAATAATTAATTTTAAAAAATCAATGCCTGAACCATCTAAAAAAAAAAATAGTACGATATACGGTATAATAATTACGGAAGTAGTCAAAAATAACTTTTGGAGTGCAGACGCCATTCTAATGCACAAGGATACTCTGTCCTTGAGTAACTTGTGTTTAATCTTCTCATTTTATATATAATTTTTTTGTGATGGCTCCAGACCGCACAGGTTAGATAAATTGGTTAAATTTTTTTAATCATTTTTATGAAAAAAAAAAAAGTTGACGCAGCACCCCTGGCTCGAGACGCTGTTTCGTTCGGACGCTGTTTTGACTAGCGCTATTTTAATAAACGTTATTTCGTTAAGGCTGTATTTCGAAATAATCCATTTTGATGAATCGCTCAAACAATAGCGGTATTTTGATACGCGATATTTCGCAACAGAGCCAATTTATCTAATTATTAGTTGGTACCGCCAGAAACTTGGTGAAAAACCACTTTAACGTATGAAATTTCAAAATTTTCCGACATCA